GGGGGACACACACACACAAGCACAAAAGATGACATTAAACGTGTGAATTGTAATGTTTTACGTCCCTATCCACTCTACAATGTAGAAACACACACCATTTGTAATGTAGAAACACACACCATTTGTAATGTAGAAACACACACCATTTGTAATGTATAAACACACACCATTTGTAATGTAGAAACACACACTATTTGTAATGTATAAACACACACCATTTGTAATGTAGAAACACACACTATTTGTAATGTATAAACACACACCATTTATGTATAAACACACACCATTTATGTATAAACATAGCTGCCAACTTTTTAACCCCAAAATCTAGACGTTGCCCCTGCCATGGGCCAAGATGGTGTACATATGCCAAGTAAACCCCTCCAAACCCTTCACACATAATATTTTTTCCTTCAACAAATTCAAACTATTCAAAGCAGACCTGCAATGGATCTCTCCACTTGACTTGTAGGCTTTGTTTCTCAGTGTTATTCCCAATTTACATACTGGTTGTCAGATATATCAATGAAAACATGTATAAACATAATGTGAATAAATTCTGAATTTAATCATCAAAAAAGAAAGAAAACACAACTTTCCGCTTGGGTACACTTCCACGGTGTACACATTCCACGCACAGAACATGTCTCATTCTACAAAGCAAACAAACATCCATTCCACGCACAGAACATGTCTCATTATACAAAGCAAACAAACATCCATTCCAATTTCACAATGCGCCCCATCCTTCTAGGTTCAAGTTTTACAGTACCACGGATGTGACTTATCTATCCAACACTGAAGGTTTTACAGTACCACGGATGTGACTTATCTATCCAACACTGAAGGTTTTACAGTACCACGGCTGTGACTTATCTAACACTGAAGGTTTCACAGTACCACGGCTGTGACTTATCTATCCAACATTGAAGGTTTTACAGTACCACGGATGTGACTTATCTAACACTGAAGGTTTTACAGTACCACGGATGTGACTTATCTATCACTGAAGGTTTTACAGTACCACGGCTGTCAGCGACCCCTGTGATCTCACCTGTTGTCCAGAATAAGCCTCTCTTCCATCGCTGCCCCCAGATCTTCAATCTTCTTCAGGTGACCTTTCTGTGACCTCACCTCCGCTGCCTTTCTCTGTGGGACAAACACAAACAGGCCTAGGCTTAGAGAAAAAGATGAACACACCGCCAAAAATAGACTGGTACCGTACTAGGAAAAGAAGAACATGATACCAAAAATAGACTCTGGTACTAGGAAAAGAAGAACATGATACCAAAAATAGACTCTGGTACTAGGAAAAGAAGAACATGATACCAAAAATAGACTTTGGTACTAGGAAAAGAAGAACATGATACCAAAAATAGACTCTGGTACTA